TTTAGGCCAGGCGTCATAGTCTCGTCCTACTCGGGCGTTAAAGTCGCCCATGAGAAGGATTTGCTCTCTTGGACGAATACGATTTACGCACCGCGTCAATTCTTCGTAGAATTTATCCTTAATATCATCAGACTTGTCCAGCGTAGGGGCATAGACACTGATGATATTAAGATAGCTTTCACGTTCCATGTGAAGGCGCAATGTGGTAATGCGGTCCGAGATGTGTACAGGGTACTCTTGCAGTTGAGCAGCAAGGTAGTTCTTGACAGCAAAGCCTACACCAGACCTTCGCGGCTCCGAGGAAGCGAGTCCTTTCCAAAAGAAAGTATACCCGCCGCCATATTCTACCAGCTCTCCTTCCTCGGGGAGGTGTGTTTCGCTGAGTGCAGCCACATCAATATTATAGCGACTTAGTTCCCGAGCTACAATGGCAGTTTTTCGCTCAGGGCAGGCATTTGCTTCGCGGTCAAGAAGTGTGCGCACATTCCACGCGCCAAATGTCATTGATTTTGATAAATTAAATTTTCCATTATTTTTCCTGTAGCGCCGACCGCGAATTTATGATGCGGAGGCAGCCGCGGTTGCTACCATCCTAAAGGGGTTGGAGTGAGCATTTGTTTAGGGCACCTTTTCTAGCCCCCTCCCCGTCTGAGCGAGGAAAGCAGTGCCTCCCTGAATAGGGCTGCTTTGTCACCTTGGGTGCTGCCGAGTCCGCTCTGTCACCCCGTTGCAGAGCAGAAGCGACCACGATGTACACTACACCCCCAAGACCGCCTACGTGCAGGAGTCAGACAAAACTCAACGGGCATCACGTCAAGCCTCTCTACCTCCTCCCATCGCCGTAGGACATTGGTTATAGATCGGAGTCCTATTTGGAAGCAGGTCAATTGCGCAGGACATATTAACGTGCACAAGTGTACGCGCGGACACAGGTGCACATACTCGTCTTTGCCCCTCTGGACCCAGTGGAACGGAGACCGTTACGACCGGAGAGGGACTCGGACAGATGGAACAGTAGGTATATCAGTGAAAAAGGTACAGGGGTTCAGTCCTTTTCCACACTCCCTTAGTCGCCTTCTACGACACCCACAGGTAGATATGGGGTGGTGGTATTCTACTCCGCCGCACACCACACGGCTAATTGCATATGGAAGTATATAATAATAAAAATTTTAACATTTTTGTCTGTCTGCCTGTCTGTTTGTTCCGGCTAGTCTCCAAAACGGCTGGACCAATTTTGACGCGACTTTCACTGGTAAATAGCTATTATCACCGTATTTAAGCTTAATAGCGTTAAGCTTAATAGCGTTTGTCATAGATGCCATGTTTAGCTGGTGATGCTGCTGTTTCAGTTTCCCTCTGTCGCCTCTTAGATACTTAAGAGATGCCACTACACGGCAGACGTGTAGTGGCGAGGGTAGAATACAATTTTTACTGTTAACCTATTAGATATGTCATCATCATCATTACGAGGGCGACACTGAAAGTTTTTAGAACTGGTCACTTGTAAACGATATAATGAAAAAATAAGTACAAATTTTGAAAATGGAACTCTTTGCCAATTTTATTGTGTATGTATTTTATTAATTTGTCATTTGTATTGTATTATTATTTATATTGTATAATATTGTCCAATGTACACATACTTGTTAACAACTTCGAGCATAGTGTTCCTAACAAATTCCGGTGGAACATGAACGTTCGATATTTTATTTGCCTAGTTCATGTTACCCGTTCAGAAACACACCTGAAGACGATAAGCACTATGATAAGGTCCTGCAGATATTTTTCGCATTTACCACTGTGAGTGCTCTGAGGAATTGTTCGGATCAATCCCAGCCGCCAAATTTCACGAACGCACATCGCGGCAAAACTCTCGATACCATCCACACCACCTGGATGATTGGCGGTCCACCACTGTATGTTTTACTAGGAGTTTTCTTCCTCGTACGACCTCTGTGTGGAATAGTTTACCACCTGCGATTTTTCCGGACCGATACGACTTTGGGGACCTTCAAGAAAAGAGCTTACACTTTTCTAAAAGGCCGGCAATGCACCTGCAATTCCCCTGGTGTTGCAGATGTTCATGGGCGGCGGTAGTCACGTACCAGGTGAGCCGTATGCACGTTTGCCCCCTCTCCTGAAAAAAAATATTTTGCTACAATCAAATCAAAACTATTTTGTTATTTCGGTTACCTACCCTGGTTCTATGCTGCGGATATACTTCTTACGAATCGAATTATCGAATTAGACATAATTGATGTTAATTAACTATTTACCATGATACAGCATGTATACTCTCATAAAATAAATAATAGTAATTATGTACTTTTGTCACGAGTCGAAGTATACCGTGTTATCTAATTACAGAGATAAGGAAAGGGACAAAGAGCGTAAATAGTTCGTTTGGTAAGAACGATACTGTGGGGTTGTCATGTTAAGGAAGTGTTAATTAACATTTTTTGTGGAAAATTCAAGTTGTCATTTTTAATTGATTGTTAAGAGTGTTTAGTATTTGTATAGGCATAAAATATTATTACTTCCCCCTACCTTATAGATTACCCTATAGATTCATTTTTACTACACATATTTACTATTGTTGCCACTTGTTCTGCTATGTTATCAGAAAGATGCTGCTGCCTATCTCCTGCCTCAGTATCCCTTTGTCACTTTATAGTACACCCTCGCAATATTATAAGGCAGTGAATGCTTTTACGCTACAACTATTCTACATGACGAAAAATGTATATTACATAACTTAAATTAAAAATTTCAAAAAACCCTCGAAAGAGCTGACGATCTTGAAACGGCTGAAGAGATTTCCTTGAAACATAGTTAAGAACATTCTCGATTAAGACACCTTTCAAACGAAAAATCATAACCAAAATCGGTTCATTTGTTCAGGAGCTATGATGCCACAGTCAGACACACATATACACAGATACACACTACAAACTTATAACACCCCTCTGTTTTCGTCTGGTGTTAAAAATCTGCTAGAAATCACTCCATTTCATCCCGTGAGTGTAATTAAAGGCGAGTATGGGATGTGACAATATGATCTTATTGCTTCCGATAGATGTCGATATTACACCATCATGTATACATATACACCAGACTTAAAATACCCAGACTGGAGACGGGCAGTTGACATTCGACAGTTGGCAATGACGGATGCCGAAGACTTGAGCAGTCTCATATTACGATAGTCACGTCTGCCAAGCTTTTTAATTAAAGCTAATCTCCTCTACAGAGGGTGAGGCCTATTTCCAGCAGACGATTTTAACGGGCTGGTGAAGAAGATGAAGATCAAAATCTAAGTATAGATTCCTTGTAGAAATCCTGGAGCTAAACTATCAACCGCGTGTAACTGTGCTAAAGGCGGTGTAAGAATATCCACTGTCCGATATCGTCCCGTGAGTGTCGTAAGAGGCGAAACAAATCAGGAGATGGACAGTAGTATCTTCCTAATATCAACTAAAAAATAAAAATTGTGGTTGCCAACCCGCCTGCCAAGCGTGGCAACTATGGCATATACAACTATGTTCAGCAGTGAACTAATGATAGACTGTAACGGTAACGGTAAGCTTTCACCAGTTAATGAATAAAATTGGTTGTAGAGATCGTATATTTTAAAACTGCACGCGCCTTCATTGTATATTTTGGTAAATTTTATCACTTTTACCATTACAAATATAGTAAAAATGCTAAAATTTACAAAAACAATTTTTTTATGATACCTTCTTAGAGTAAGGGTGACAAAAGAGCACACAGTCTTGATGGAAAATAAATGCTGTAGCCCATAGACACCTACATCTATTTTTGAAAAAGAATCAAAATGCAAATGCGTTGTCACGACTAAGATGGAATGCCTGGTTTTCAGTTAAATGGTCTCCGGTTCTTTACACTCACCATATGAAACACATCAGCTTTAAGCTGCTATTTAACGCTGTTATTATGTTAACTTAATACGGTGAATGTGACAAAATGTACCGTAAAATGGTCGCGGCCATCGCGTCCGAGTTGCACGAGCACTGCACCTAATCCATCACTACTTTGCATCGTAGCGTATGCGTTTGCATTCTAATACCGTATCGTAATGACGTCTAGCTGCTTTGCTCTTTATAAAAAGTATCACAATGGTCACTAACCCCACGTCCAAATTATGTTTAACATCGTTTTATGTTGTTGTTGTAATGGTGACATTTGAAAGTCTAAATTTCAACATATACCACGTCTGGAGGTTTTTGTAGACGTTTCCATTTTAAAAAGATATCTATTTATATACATATGTATATACGGTACGCCAGTAAGCTATTTTGTCTCGTATTTCTTGAGAACAAAGTCATTTTATCCAACATGTCGTTTTGCATATTAAATACCTGATTATGTCTTGATGGAAATTTTATTTTTAGAAGAAACCAGCGAAACCAAACTTTAAAATAAGTCACCACATGGAACGTCAATAGTAAGAGCAGAACCTTTTACAAAAATCATTAAATATTATTATTAAAAAACAAATTACAATAAAATTACCTCGGTACCTACTCAGACGGACGCATCATACGCAGAAAACGTGGGACATGTTTACGTAAAAATGTTTAAATATCTCATAGAAATTAATTCATAACGTTATGGAAATGTTATGAATTAATTTCTATGAGATATTTAAAAAAATCTTTATTATATAAAATATCATAGTTTATATTTATGCAAAAACCACATTGAAAAAAATGTTGTCGCTCTCATTTAAAATAAAAAAGATGTATGGTTACGGGGAGAAATATGTTTTGTTAGTGGCCACACAGTCGTAATATGCAACTAACGCTTTCGTATCTATTTGTCGTCATAGGCGCCCAAATCATCCCGGGCGTCTATTTAGTGACTGTATAATTTAAGCTTAGTTGTAATTAATATAAATAGTTTAAAGCATATTTACATACAACAAATATATTTTTACGTTTAAAAAACTATTAAATTAATATTTTTTTTAAAAAGAAATGGATGATCTCTGGAAGGATAATAACAATTTATACAAAGTTCTTTGTTTCTTTATAACGGAAAATGAGAAACTGTTTGATAGGAGTGACGCGCGATTGTACTGGAAAACGGTTTTCCATACTTTTTCCATCATACTCCATGTTTATATTACCGCCGTCGCTTCATGTTTTGAATTGGAAAATAACCCTGATGTGGAAATACAGTCTCTGCACACCTACAGGGCAGGTTATATTACCGGCTGGAATTTCGTGAGTACATTCAACTATTTAAGTTTTTAGAATAGAATAGGCTGTTCGGTTTTCAAATAGACTAAAAGAAGAAAGGTTAAATAAGAAAAAAAAACACATGCTATATATAATCAAACTTAAAAAAGTAAAACTCGACGAAAAGTATAGCTTCTGAAGTCGAGATTTTAATTCGATACACTATGTTAGCATCGACTTCAGAAGTGGAACTGATGTGTAAATTATTTTATTGTTTTGTAGTTTGTAGCTTAAGACCTTTATATCTCTATTAAGAATTAACAATAATTCGCTGAATGAGAAACTAAATTTAAGAAAATATACATAAGTTGAGCGTAAAATTGATTATCATATAAAATAAAATAAAATGTGGGTAGTCTTCAAATCTTGCAACAATAATTAACACCAACTGAGCAAACACGGACCTTGTATAAAAAGTGCTATTGGCTAGATGTGGCATCAATCATAGCGTACGGATGATGCTTGTTAACTGCATCTATTAATGTTAGTTCAATAAATAAGCCTTAAGCAACTTTTTTCTTTTTGCTTCTTTTATATTTATCGGTACTTTATTATACAATACTTCAAATTCAATGTTCTTTCCCTAGTTTGTTCTGGGCGGACCTGTTACTAAATAGTTTGCATTTCGTAATTTTGTTTATATATATTTTTTTAATTTTATTTTTTTCTCTTAAGATTTTGAAATCATTTTTAATTTGATTAAAGTTTTATTCTTAAGTGATTTTAAGTAGACTAAGCTTTATCACTTTTTCAAGCTAATAACTAAAATCTAAATAGTTACATTACGAAAATTCATCATTCCCTATTTTTTCACCCTTAGGGATGAGTTCTTTTTCAAATTTAAATGAGACTAGAAGGTATAACCTATTTAATATAAAACATTACAATCGGTTCGCAACTGGCGGAGGCATCACATTACTAAAAATAAAGTAGAATTGAGAACCCTTCCTTTAAAAACTCAAAAAAGCCAAGAAGCCATAAATAAAAAGAAACCCATTGAAGCTCCAATTGTATTGTATATTGCTGGCGCATAGCTAGCAAAACCCATAAACTAGATTGAAAGGAGTGAGTGCTGGGAGTGTTTTCTTCATTATCTATTTTTGTCATACAGCTGATCACACAGGAAGGGTCTTCGTACAGGACGCCTAAAGATAATCAATCACCTTGCAAAAGATAGGACGTGTTGTGAGGTGTTTAACGCAAGGCGGCGAGAACCCTGGGGCGAGCGCATATGGGGCGTCGTTAGATTCGTTTTAATTGTGGAAGTGACATAAGAGATACATTTTTTTCTCTTTTCAGTACTTTTTTTAACATCGTCGCTTTTTAGTTACTGATTTCAACCAACTTCAAAAAAGGAGGACGAGGTTCTCATTTCGTCAGTCTTAATTTTTATGCCTGTCCATAACTCAAAGACGCCTGAACAGATTTGAAAAATTCTTTTTTTATTTGAAAGCTGGTGCTTCTCATGTAGTCCCATATAAATTTGATCAAGGTCTGACCAGTAGTTTTTTAGTTATCCTTAATAATTTATATTGAAGTCGGCTGTACAAAAGTTTTAATTTTACCACTTGTAGCTATTGTGCCTGTTAAGAAAACACATTTTAAACGAAGGATAATAGTGAAGTAACCATATCGTAGCTTTGGACTTCGAATGTATTCCGGAAACGAATTAACAAATTGTCTATGTGCCGGAAATTGCGATGTATGTCGTTTCCGCCAACAAAGGCATATGCGGTCCAACTTATTGGACACACCCACGTTTGCCAACGTGCTATCAAATTATATGGCACAAAACAACAGTCTTTTTGTTGAACAGTGTAAAATCAACATAGTCATATTATAAGTAAACTATATTTGTTTCCAAGCTATTAACTGATGGGGAATAAAGTGTCTTGAATGGCAGCCTCGTACCGTTAATCAAAGTGTAATGCGGTCTCCCACTAAATGGAGTGACCAACTGGTAAAAGGTGTAGGTTGCTCAAGCTCGTCCGCTGTGGAGTTCATTGGGGGAGTACTATGTTCAAAAGTTGACTTGTGATGGGATATAATGCTGATGATGATTACATTTTTTTTCTTGTACACTAGTTTTCATTTAGTGGTTATTGGTTAATTGTTTTAAAATAGTGTAATGCCGTTCCGTTTTCTTATAACAGAAAATTAGAAACTATCAAGAAGTGATGCAAGATTGTACTTACAATGACGGCACCGTGGCGCAGTAGTTTAGCATTGAGTTGCGGCGCTAGGGGCCGCGGGTTCCAATCCCGCAAGTAACAAGTACTTATACGGGTCTGGATGTTTGTCCTTGTTCAATTTATGTATGTAAACTGTCTCCACGATATAGGAGAAAATCCTAGTGTGGGGGTAACGTTAAAAAAACAACTTTAAGTATTTTTCCATCATACACCACCTTTATATTACCCCCGTCGCTAAAACATGTCCCATGTCCAAGACCGGATGAAACTAAAACACAGAATACTTACTCGTAATAGTACTACAAGGTATAAACGCAATGTAAATAACTGCCTATGGACCCCGCGTCGCATAAGAGCCCCGATGACTACAAAAAGCAACGTGATATAAAAAGAAAGTTGGAAAAAGGCAAGGGTCTCGATACTCGCATTGCCTAGGCGTAGCAAGAAAGCTAGGGGGTATTTTATATGGGCGATATTCACCTGGGGGGTGAACTGACATACACTCAGCTCAAACCTTAGCTCAGAAAACCTGACAAATAGCACGAATTGAATGTACTTCTGATTAAAATTTTGCGTACACAGTGTACGTAAAGTTTCTAATCGAGCTCTCAAAATACAAATCTTCAGTCTGCTCCCAAGCACTTGCCTAGGGTAGTTACAAATAAAAAAAATGCTTTATATTTTTTTATTATTAAATAAATAAATAATAAATTATATAATATACATAGTTTGTAAAAATATTTAGGGGCTTCTCGAAGCTGCTATACCATATCTTGTCAACGTAGGGCAACGAACACCGCTAGGAAATTTGCATTAATTGGATGCGTGAATGAGAAAACTAGACTAAATGATATCCTTTACTGTATAACTACATTAATATGATAAGCTGATTGTGCACAACAATCCCACGAGTCAAATCAAATCACGTGTGAAATTTATAGACTACTCGATATTCAGAGAGAAATATTGTTGATGTCTTTACGCGATTGAGCCAGAGGTATAGTTGTAGCACGAATGGGTCGGCACGACCGGGGAAGGACCACACTCTCACATAATACCAGCGTAAAATAGCAGCTTAACGCTGCTGTGTTTCGTGTGGTGAGAGTAGAGAACCGGAGACCCTTTTTACAGGAAACGAGGCATTCCAACTTACTCCTTACGGGTGATAACGTATCTGCATTTTGATTCGTTATCAAGAATAGATGTAGATAACTATGGGTCACATCAACCACTTATCATCAGGTGGACTGTGTGCTCGTTTGTGCTCGTTTGTGCTCGATTGTAATGGGCATCCCAATTTAGTCCTCAGAAGTGACAACGCATCTGCATCCTTACTTGCTTGAAACTGGACAGTTGTGCATGAACTGTAGTTACAACTTGTTGAACTGTAAATTGGTTAGTCGATGTGCGATGGTGAAATTTAGCGGCAGGAATTAGGCCGAACAATTCCTCAGAGCTCTCCACGTGGTAGGTGCGATATAATATGCAAAGGGATGCAACAGCTCTTCGCAGTGCTACTGAGCCAAGTCGATCAGAAAGACCTCAGTCGCTATTGCCGAGTATAGCGATTGAGGCAAATATTTTCTTCAACGGTGTGTTCAGCTGTGATTTTCACCAGAATGAAGAATTAATACAAGAAGGAGTGAGTGAAGATGAGCCAGTTTTCTTTACCATCTTGCTTGTTTTTGTTTTTGAGTTTGAAATCAAGCAATAGCTTAAACAGTTAGAGAAAAAGATGGAAACACAATCAACGGAATCACTAACAATGGATTATATGCTGATAACGATTGCGGAGTAATCAAACGAGGTTAACTGAATGCATCTTAACGATTTTGCAGAGGAATAATTTAAACGATCCGGTCAACCATCCGTTGTGTAATTGAACCCGCACAGCTACTTTTACAAGGTTACGTAATCTTTGTTTTTAAATAACACATGCATTGCATGGAAGATCGATGTGATGCAAGATAAGCCTGCGAATTGTTCTCCGTATTGGTTTGAGAAATTTACGCCACCACATATACATTTTAATGATTTACTAATTTTATTTTTACTTCTTGTTGAATATAGAACATACAGGGGAACAGAAGGCGGCTCCATGGGGCAGTGGCATGGCACCAAGTTTTAGCACTGACGGCCGCAGGTTCAAATCCCGCACGGAATAAGTATATATATGTCCCACAAATAATTGTTCAGGGCCTGGTTGTTTGTCCTTGTGCAATTTATGTATATATGCTGCCTCCATGATACAGGACAAAATTTTAGTGTGGGGTAAAGTTTTTTATAAAGAATAAATGATAAAACGATAGATATTCTGACATCAGATATTTATTGATTAACTGACTTCAAATATGGATGAGGTTTCTTCTCAATTCATCGGGATATTATTATTATTATGTATGTTTAGTTAATTATTCGATATTGTAACAAAAAGGATAGTCTCATATAGTTTTGGTGAAGAGCTGTTGATGAGTTCCATAAGAAAATAATTAAACTCTTCAATTTGCAAAGGACTGCCCGAGAAGGAGGGAGTGTTTTTCAATTGTATATATGTATGTATGTCTCTTTATTTGGCACGCTCTGTAACCTAAATGGCTTAATGGATATTGAAATATGTGGTGTCGTTATAATCGTCTTAGTTGTAAAAGAGATGTAAATCTTTTCTCTTTTCAGTTTCTTTTTTACGCATTCGGGTTTTTTTAAATTACAATTTTAACCTTTGGACTTGATAGTTTTTTGCAGTCAGTTTGTACTTATAGGAAGATGCGACGAGGCATTCACTCGCAGTTTAAC